AATGAGCATTAAATTAAAAATATCCGCTTGAAATATAGAGAAAACAGCTGCAAGATTAAACTTTCTGCAACATTCAACTGTCATGTCACATTTCAAATATAACCTCATGTCGATTTTGTCCTATCCTGCCAAAACTTGTATTGAAGTTTAAAATAATCCATCAAATAAAGTGTAAATGTGTACAATAGTTCACCAGTAACTACTACAAACTTTTCTTGCAATGTAATTTTCCTCTTTGGATACAAAGTATTTGAATATTAAAACGAATCCAAGGCAAAATTAGTACAGCCTACCTTCCTATTGCACAGTCCTCAGTTCTATGAATCTTATGATGTTAATATGTTATATTCAGGTAATGTAATTTAGCACTGACTCTTCTTGAGTCAGAATTTTTAATCACTTGCAATTGTAAAAATGTCACAGATTTTAAAAACGTATTACTTAAGTATGTGAGCCGGCGTAGCTCATTCGGTACAGTGACTGGCTACGGACTGGGCGCCCGGGGTTCGATCCCCGACGGGAGCAGAGGATTTTTCCCCTAGCATCTGCGTCCAGACCGGCTCTGGGGCTCACCCAGCCTCCTATCCAATGAGTACGGGGGTCCTTTCCCGGGGGTAAAGCACGGCCGGGGCGTGATGCTGACCACTTACCCCTATCTAGTGCCGAGGTCAAGAATGAGAAGGAGCTATACCCCCACTCCCCCCAAGCGCCTACATGGCGTATAGTTGGACAGCTTTATTTTTGCTTTATTACGTAAGTACACATTCTGTCTATATTCAATTTGTCATATATAACTTCAAAGTTCCGCACCATCGCCATGTTCGAAGGGGAACGTGGTCATGGATATGAAAAAATGGGTAGAAGACAAAGATATAACTAGCAGAGTTGAAACAAAAACATGTAAATCATTGTTATAAATACTGAAATATACAAATTTTCCTCGACAGATGATGCGGGCATATCGCACGCACAAGCCGACGGCAAAAGTCACTCGTGAGCGCTGTCCATCAAATTTCTTCTAGCGACTGAAAACACGTTGGCGTCGCTCGTATCGTATGGGTCTCGCCGAGAGAAACAGATCGCAACCGATTTGGTTGAAATTCGGTCGGTTAATGCGGGAGTCGGATAATCGAGGGTCGGTTAACAGAGGTTTTACTGTATCATTTTTTTTTTTTCAAAATGTGTAAGAATGCTTAAAATCTACCTCCAAACAAAATGTAATGTTCCTGACTCCATCGGTCCATTAGTTATCAGTTACAAACTGAAAGCTAAATGCAAATTCTTGCAGGGCTGCTATGTTGATCAAATCTAAAACTTCTTGACGATGGTGAAGAGTCAATTGAATAAAATTTTTTTTTGGATATTATCCATCGTCTAGTAAATA